TCAATGGGCTTTTCATGGGATAGGTCATTGATAGATCTTTGCAACATTGAAGGCTCTGAATTTGTGACAAAACCTAGATGAAACAAAAATTGAAACTTAAAAATGATTCCTAAATTAATTTGTGAAAATTAGATAATATGCTTACTAATTTCTTATTTTGGAGAAGAACAGTGATTTTAAGAGCCCAGATCTAGGTTCCTGGAAGAACAAGAACCTAAAACCCAAATAAATTTTTGAGAACCCAAATCTAGGTTCCTAGAAGATCAAAAACCCAAAACCCAAATAACAGAAGAAGAAGAAAAGGAGGAGGAAGAAAAAGAAAAGGAAGAAAAAGAAAGGGGAGGAGAATCTATGACTCTTGACCTCATCAATAAAACCCACCATTGGAGAGTATGATACACGATCCTTGCACCCCCTTCTTCTTCTTCACCACTTCACACACCAAGGTATTCCCTAGCTCCAAATCTCTTGAGCCACCCTTATCCAAGCCCAATCGCCTACAAACTTGAATAAGAGAAGAAGAAATTGATGAATGGGAAGAAAAATAGAAGAAAGAGAGAGGAACAAAAGCAAATTTTGAGGAAAGAGATGAGGTTAGTTTTGTAATTTTATTTTAGTTTAATGTGTTAATTAATTAATTAATGACCTTAAATCATTTGCTTTTCCACATCATCTACACAATTTTTCACCTAAGACAATGAACTGATTTCGTGGCAACTTAATGTCCCATTTGGCACTTTCGTTGCACTTTCGTTGACAGAAGGATTAAATTGGTTCCAAAAATTGAAGTTTAAAGATAATTTTGATACTTTTCAAAGTTTAAGAGTAGATTTGATTCAAAAATGAAAGTTGAGAGACCAAATCGGTATTTAGCCCAAGTAAAATGTTAATGTAACTAAAAAATAGATAAAATTTTATTTTTTAAAATATTAATTTAGTTTTATTTAATTAATAAAAATAATTATTAATTATAATTATTAATTAATAATTTATAAAATAATTAATATTTATTAATTAATAAATTAAAATTAATTAATAAATTAATATTTTTAAATATTATTAAAAAAAAAAAACTGAAAATTGGTAGTTTAACACTCCATGTGAGGGCAATAACCACACTCCACTTATTCTATATAGCGTCTTTAACAAAAGAGTTCAACCACTTACCCTATCTATATTAAATATTAAAAAAAGGTTTATT